AAGTGAAGGCCGAGGGGATCGAAAAGTAGGGCCGTTGGAAGTGAAGGTTGTGTTGTGGCATAGCATGGTGGAGCGGTAAAGATATTGGGAGCTACTCCTGATGTGAACACCTGGGGGCGGACCTCAGAAGGTGTTCCGACGAAGTGAGCGGTCATGGTAGGCTGTCCCAAAGGAGTATGAGGGTGGCTGATGGGGATATTGGAGGTACCCCTAGATCTAGGGAATAGTTCAGGAAATCCAGGGATGGCGCTTGGAGGCTCCCTTCCATTGGTCCAGGCGTCCCACATTTCCATGAATCGGAGACGTAGTATCCAGTTCTCTTCAGCTGTGACAGACTCAGATGCCGGGATCCCCGAGATGGGCCTGTCCTCAGAGATGGGAACTGCGGGAAAAGTCATTTCTGTAGACATTTTCACACTTCCTTTTGATCTGGTAAAGTATTGATGCGATGCCAGCTTACCACAACCAACCACCGTTTCTAAAAGCTAGGCTGGAATTGGCAGCCACACACGGTTAGTTTGAGACAAGTAACAGACATGTAATCGCACATTGGGGTGTGATGCACCTATACAGTTAAACGGATATCTACATGTTTGCACTGGTTGCATGCATCATCCCGGCTTTTCTTTCTATTTTTTCTTCTTTTGATTTCTACTATCTGTTTTTCTTGCTTTTCTTTCTCTTTCTATTTTTCTCTCATTTTTCTTTTCCCTCTGTTTTTCATTTTCTGCTTTTCCCTTTTCTTTTGCCATGGTTTTTCTCTCGATTCCTTATTTTCTCTTTTTGCGTTTCTTTTCCTCTCTTGTTTTTCTTTTATTTCCTTCCTTCGTATTTTTTTTAGGGTTACGGTCAAATCCTATGGAGATTGCCTACGTATCATGACCCCGCATGAATCAGACCAAGCGTAGTTCTTGCACATAAGCTAACTCTCTTTTTTCGAAATTTTGAAAGAAATGCTTTAAAAGAAAAAAGGAAAATATGTACTTTTGATTTTTGATTTTGATTTTCTTTTGAATTTTTGAAAGAAAGACTTCTAAACATTTCTTTTCTTTTTATTGGAACTTTGGGAACTTTTAGAAGTAAAAATATTTTCAAAAATATTTTCGGACTCAATTTTTCACGATTTGTATTTTTTTATATATTTTTTATTTATGAAAGAAAGACATCGAAGGAGTATTTTAATGATTTATTTTGACCTAAAAGAAAAGTGGCTATTTTTCAAAAAATTTATTTAAGCAAACAAAGACTCGGTTTTGCAGATACGACCTTTCAGCACTTCTGGGAGGAAATTTTTAAGGCTGTGCCCGCTAACCATTGAAAATGACCCAAGGTGGTTGTTCTTGCAAAAAGGGCCTTCCGGCGCCCTTTTCTGGACATTCGGCTTGTTTTAAAACAAGAATGGCATCACCCGACTTATTTTGACAAAAATTAAAATTTTGACATTTTTGGCTATTTTTGCAAAAGGGTGGTTGGACCCGATGAGGGTTGCCTACGTATCTCACATCCGGTGAGAATCAAACCAGCGTAGTTCGGGCAGATTTACCAAAATCAAAAGTGTATTTTTGAACAACAATTTTCTTTCTATTTTCCAAATACTTTTCTCTTTTTTTTCTTCATTTTTCAAAAATTCGGCAGCATTTCGGTACTATTTGGGCATTGGGTTTTTTCAAAACAAATGGTCACCTTCACTTAGTCCTAACACTGCTATTTTTCTCAATTTTCTCTTATTATATACAAGCCGGTCAACATGCAAAGCCGAGCAAATAAGTGCGCAAGTAGCACGTAAGATGCATCAGGATGGTCATTTCATTTCATGTCACCTGTCCTAGACGGACCCAACCCCTGCGTTGAGTCCCCTAAGTCAAATGCACATGATGCAAACAAACGTTCCTACTAGGGATCCGGCATAAGGTTTTGTTCTTCTAGGTTTAAACCCTAGGTTTATTGGTCTAGACCTGGCTTACCTGAGCGGACAACTCGAGCCAAGGGGGAGGCAGTGTACCGGGGATACAGAAGCTCCGCCGGCTTAGCAACTTATCCGAACCTCGTTCTAAATTGGGAAAAACTCTAAACAGAAGAGAAGCTACACGAAGTGCACCCTTCTCCATGATATAGAAGACTCAGAGAGAGGAAGGGATTCGCGACATTTTATATACACAATTTCAACAAATATCAAAGTGGTAAAACATTTAGCACATATAGCATGGAACATGTAGAAAAATTAGATAAAGCCGAATATAACAATTATACTAAGCTCGAATTCTTGAACCCTGAACCGAAATTCTGAGTTCGTGTCCCCAGTGGAGTCGCCAGAGCTATCACACCTCCTTTTTTACACACCTACCCCGAAGGATAATGTATAAGGGAGTTTTTCCATTTAAAGTGACATTATTCGAATTGGGATTATTTATTTATTTTTACAGTCGCCACTTGGGATAGGATTGGTTTTTGGTGTCCCAAGTCACCAGTTTAATTTAAATCCCAAATCGAGAAAAATTGTCGACTTCCCAATTGGAGTCTGCGAACCAGAAATTCTGTGTAAGGAATTCTGTTGACCCGAGGGAAGGAGTTAGGCACTCCCGGATCCCGTGGTTCTAGCACGGTCGCTTAAATTATTATAAATGGCTAAAAATCTAATTTTTTACATGCTCCAACCTATAGTGCAATTTTATAATTATTTACCGCTTTTTAATTATTTTTTTACGAAAGTGAACGTTGTTTAAAAACGTGTTTTCGGATCACGTCACATGAAATGCACCCGGATCCTCGACACATTCTTATTCAAAGTTTTTGGATTTGGATTTGGGTCGCATGAAATGCGCACCCGTATTTAGGAAGGCAAATTATTAAAAGCGTGCCTAAAGTGACTAACGTCTTTTTAACTTTGCGAAGAGCCGTGAACTTCGCTAAACGGCACGCTCCGAATGCTAAGTATTTTTAAGCAATTAATGAGGGCCCCGCAATTTGTATATTTTTGTTTGGCGAGGCTCGTCTCACTTTTATTATTTAAAGGCCAACCTAAAGCACACTAAGATTTTCTATTTTTATTTTTTGTCTCTAAAAGGGCCCAATTAATTTACATTTATAAATTCGGGCCTCAAGTTCAAGTCCGAATTCAAACAAAAGGGAGGACCCTCTTAGTTTGAACCCGCTACCTAACTCGAAAACCTAAATTTATATTGCAAATTAATTCCCCGTGTTCCTAATATAATTTTTTTAAAGGGGTTTTACTCAACTAAAAGAAACCACGAATGTTCATAATCGTAGTTCCTTTTTACCAAATCATGTTCCAGTGAAATCAACTAGGACGCATAACTTGACTTGATCACAAACTAGGCGAATTTATCCCACAAAAATGATGAGTCAGCTATACTTACCTATCAATACGTCCCGAATTATCCAACTATCATTAATATCACCTACTCACGAGGCAATACTTTGCTAAAATACCTCTCCCTCATAGAAAAACAATTAATGCAGACCTCAATTACACATTCTGCCCAAGGATAAGTCTATAGCATATTTTTTGATGTAATTGCTATTGTGTTCACTTAAAACAATTGGCATGCTCAAATATCTAACCAACAAATATAAAAGGTAAATTGGCGTAAATCTAGTTCAACAATTAAGAGCAACTAATCCCAACATAGAATCAATGTTAAATTTAGAAACAGAGTCCAAATTTGGTTTTAAGAGATTACCCTCTCATTCCAAAGGCACAAAGAGCTGAACTCTTTCAGAAAATAGATATGCCCAAATAAAGATTGAATTTGAAGGCATAATACTCTTAACAACAACTCAACACATATATTATCATTTATAAACATGGTACAATCCCCAATATGAAATAATTGTGTGAGCAAACATCAATGAAACATTCGGTTCCGTTTAACACATCGCCAATATCACAAAGCAACAATGAATCCAAACAATTTAAAACAACCTGAAATACCGATTTTAAGTGAACAAAACAGATTTAAAACATAATACTCGACATCTCGGATTTTACTTGAGAGAAAACAAAAAATAACTTTCAGTTGGAGGCGTACATACCTAAGAGCGGAACAATAACGAAAAAAACAAACAATCTTCTGGAAGAGGAGAGCAAATTCGGCAGCAGTAACAGCAACAGTCCAGCGACTAAATGAGTTCAAATCGACAGTAGCGGACAGCGATTCAACCACTATTGAGAGCAAGGAAACAGTTCAGGAAAAACATAATTCAAACCAACAGAAATTGAGTGATTGCTTGGAATCCTGATCTTCGTTTCCTTTGTTTGAAATTTTTCAACTTATTCCTTCAGATCGGGAGTTTCTTTTCGAGTGTTCTCACTGCTCCTTAGGGCGTGTGTTTGTGACCTTTCGAAAACAAGAGAGGGCTGGTTTGATTGTTGCGTTTTACAGCTGATTCG